TTAATTTTTAACTTTAGTTACGTTAAAAAATGTTTTTATTTAATAATTTCGTAATACAATAAATGCAATAAATATAATATTATTTTTATAAGTTATTGCACAAAATTAAGAGTTGCAGTAAATTTTTTTGTTTTATTTATTGTAAAATACCTATTATTATGGGCATCGAAATAGACACATTAGGATACTTGTTATTGATATATCAAGATTTTTTTTTTCAAAATTGAAGAAATACTGCCTGGGATTTTTCCCTATGAATTTAAAATAATACAACTTTATTAAATACAACTAAAATTGTAGTAATTTATTTTTTCAAAGGAAAATATCAATACATTATTTTAGTTAACTCTTTCGTTAAAATTAAGAAAAAGAGCAAAAAAATATAACTAAGTATGAAAAATAATTGATTGGATTAATAATAAAAAAGATACTAGAACTCTAAAATGTGACATGAAAATTCTTTGTGGATTTTTTAGTGGAAAAATATTTTTCATATTTAACTATACCGGGGGTCCAGTATTCACTGACAACTTAAAAAACTTTTGATCTAGTTAATATTTTTTACAAATTTTTTTTTAATAACAGTTATACTTTATGTCTATAATTATATCTCAATAATTTATATTTTTTAATTTTATTAAAAATATTAATTATTTTTAAATTTTAAATAAATGTAAAAAGAAATCCAAAATAGCTTTTTGTAAAGTATATTCTAAGAAAAATTTTGGTAAAAAAATATAAATAGTAAATATTCTGTATCATTTTAAACTTTGTGAAAATTTGAATTTTCATGTGTTATTTTACGGTATTAAACATTGAAATACGTGTTGAGACAAGGACGAAGAAAAGTAAAATAAGTAGTTTTATCTCTTTATATATAAAACTATTAATTAATAGGAAATGTTCGTCGTGTTTATATTAGAACTAAAGCCGATCATTGGAATGTTAATAATTTTCATGGAAAAATCCATACTCGCATCATATTTAGTGTGAAAAGATGGTGTTTACTTATGTTATTTTTATATAACATAACCAGTGTTTGATATTGTAGAATAAATACAGAAAAAATTCAAATTTTTACGAAATTTAAAATGCTACAGGAAATTACCTACCAATTATTGTTTTTTCAAATTGAAAAATATATTTTTAGTTTGATAAATTGATAGTTTTCTTTTTAGTCTATAGCATTAAAATTTTTTATTTAAAATTATCCATTTGCTTGACATATCACTGTAAATGTTCGATTTTTCCAGATTATACATGTGTGTAAAATTAGCAGAACTATATCTATATTTATAGTCCCATTTGTAGCGTCTATGATGTGCTACTTTTAGATATACGTCGGTTATTGTCAATTATCGCTTTACCGTTAGATAAGGTTAGATTGTTGTCGTTTTTAAAGACTACGTTGTTATAAAAACGATTGTTTATTGTATACGATGTCTTGGAAAATATGAAACAGTTTTATTTTCTTATAAAATTATTGGATGAACAATATTTTGATGGAAAATAAAATGACGAATGTATCATTACAATATAATAGATTTGACAATAAGTAAAAATTAGATTATATTACATAAACTCGTGTCCGAATTATTGATAAACTGGAATCTTAGAGAAATACGATTATGTTTCCATTTGAAAAAGCAAAGTTGATTACCTTATAAAGCATAAGGAATGTATCGAAAAATTACCTAATAATAAATAAATGTAGATTTTAAGTAACTAAAAAAATCCCCAACATTTTTTTTTAAAATGTAGATTATTAAAAATAAAATATTATTTAGAGAATTATTGACTGGCTAATGTTAAGAAAATCACTCTGTATAGTACGTAAATATATAATATCTTTTGTTTAAATTTGATTAGATGTAATTTTAAAAATATGTTTTGTGAAATTGCAATGTGGTTTATGACAAATCGATGAACTTTATTCACAAATTTCGATAAATTATACTAATGATTTTTTTAATCTAAATTCATTTATAAAAAATCATCAAATACAATTCAAAATTATATAAAAAAAAATTGTACAATAAAATTTAAATAAATATTAAAAAGGAAAATAGAACCACAATTAATTAATAAGTAAGCTATAAATTTAGGTATTTTTACTTAGAATAAAAAATGTATTTGTTAATAACAAAGTTTCATTAATAATACTATAAGAATATATCTATCTATATTTAAGATAATATCATCAAGTCAGTGATAATCCAGCTTTTCTCAGTATAAAGACTTGGCTGGTAATTGAACTCATTATTATGTGTTAAATATTATTAAAAAACAGTCTTTAATATTCGTTACATTGGCTAAATACGCATTACTAAAAGGTAGGATATAAACTTAGAACATCAACACATAGGGATACTTTCACGATATTGAGTCTTTCTGTCCTTAGATAATACATATATTTCGTAATGATCTTTACCCAATCTACTACATAGTACTGACTTGCCGATCAATATAGAGTACTCCATGATATACAGAATAATTGATATATCGTTAACCATAAGAATTTTTTCGACAATAACATCTCATCTGTTACGAGTCCAGTCAGATTAGTAAAATAGATTTGAAGAAAATATATAGAAATGAGTTTACTTTAAGTTCTGTTCTATTCTTTTTTAACTTTTTAATAATTATTATGATCAGTAAATTAATAAAATCAATACAATTACTATTTTTTGAAACTAATCATGTTAGCTACGCCCTCTTTTGGCTGGTTTCAATAAAAAAAAAAATCCAAATAAAGTTCAAACACATGTCCGCGCCACTGATATTTCAATCTTTCTGCTAGTATTATTATTTTTATTAAAACTTAAGCAGTTGAATAACTAAATCTGAAAAAAGAATTTGATATACAATCCTAAATTAAAAACTATATGATGTCAAATTGTCGTTAACTGCAAACAGCCTTTTAACAGAAATTGATATATAATATTATTCTTAAATTAAATGAAAATATTATTTACTATTTCACTTGATAAAAATCCTTCATGTTACACATCATCAATAATATAAAGTTAGTAATATAGACATTTTTTTATTAAACAATGTTCCGCATAACACATTTTAATATAATTTATTTTTATCCTTCCTAAAGAATTTTAGAAATGTTTTTTCAGACTTGTTTAATTCGTTATTCGGTATTTGGCTATTAATTATATGTATATAATTTTTAATATAATAATTCAAGTACAAATATTTGTTATATATTTATTTAGTTGAGATAATTTATTTGAAATATATATGTATATTGACAGTTTTTAAACCCTGATAGAAGATTATATTTTAAATTTTTATAATGAATCACTATATATATTTTTTTAATATTGTATTATTTAATATTAAAATAAATCGTATTATATAATAATACAAAGAAATATTTCCATTGCTGTAATGATTATTTAACGATCTGCTATTTTCAAAAAAAAAAATTTTTACGAAAGAACTCGGCAACATTATTCTTCAAAAATCAGACAAATACTTAACACTCCATGAGCGTTTAAAACGTTTGACATTTTTCGAGAAAAATTCTCATTGACGCCATCTTTCTTTGATAAAAACATACAATTTTTACCATACTTGCTTATAGACATTCCAACGATATTCTAAAAATTTCATTAAAATCTGTTGGTTTTTGACTGAGTTATTATTATGAACTTAGCTTTTTATAATACTTTGATATTGTGTTGTTGTTGGCATCTCAACTTTGTTTATATTTTGTGTTAACTGAAAACTCAAATAACATAGTGTTTAGAAATTGTATTTCAATAATTGTAAAGTTTTTTTTTTTCATTATTGAGCATAATGGGTGCTAAATGATGATTAGTTGGTTCTATGTTAAGAATAATTTTGAATACACATTTTTATTTTTTGACTTCAATACATTATCAAATCAATAAAACATTTAGATTTTATATTAGAGGGTATGTTTTTCTAATCGATCTGTTTTCGGGGTATTAAAACTATACTATATTTTATCTCAATATAAAGAGTAAAATTAGTCATTAGAATGTGACATTAATATAAAAGTTTTGATTCAACATCAACTATTGGCAATGATTTTAAATACACAATTTTAAAGATTAAATGTTTATAGAAATGTTTTGAAATCGTTAAATATGAAATTATACTTAAGTATTAAGTATAAAAATTGTTGTGTAAAACACTTATTATACCTGTGTAGATAAGTACTACATCTACATTCGTAATTTACCCGTAACGAGGGCCCAAAACTTGTGGGGCTGCAAATCTATGGGAGTACAGCTAGATAGGGTCTAGTAATAAATACATATTATATGAATTTTTTATACGATGAGTTATTTCACTTTTTAAAGATTCTTGCAGTTTTTTTTTTCTATGGATGTATTATTATATAATTTGTAGTTCATTAAAATGTTCGACAGATTTATTTAAAATTATTGTACATTTATATTATATTGAATTCGTATAATATTGTCTCTATTACGATTGCAACGCTAATAATATTAATGGTAGTAATAATGGGATCGGGAAAAAAACCAGGTGTTAGTTACATTTTTAATAATAAAATAATAACAATACAGCTGTTTATTGTCACAAGCATACGTATATGCTTTATTATTACCATCTTAAATTACACTTTATTGCCACTGTAAAATTGAAAGCAACTTTTTTATTAGAAAATAAAACTACTTCTTGAAATAGTTATATTAGCTTTATAACAGACAATGGTATCTAAATTACAAAGACAAAATAATTTCAGATAAAATTTACTAACTTAAAATAAATTGTTTATAATATTGAAGAAAATATTATATATTATTCATTAATAGTAACATCATATATCAATTATGTGACAAAATTACTGTTATTTATCATTTTTGCTTTGATAAAATTATAGTAACAATAGTTTGTAACTTAAAAGGTTTTTAATTTTATACCTTAATATTAAAATAATGAACAAAAATTGTTGTATTAATATTATATGTATTTTTTTTTTATTTTTACCATAGGTGCTGAGTTTATTAAGCGTAATCAAATTTTACAACATGATAAGACTAGGAGTAACATGGAAAGGTCCAGAAACTATTGAACTGTGATGTAAAATATCGGAATCGGGACGTTTTCCTGGTTCCATTTCATCGACTAATAGCACTGACACAAATTTATCTTCCAATTCTGACGACTTATTATGATTAAAACTTCATGACAACTATATGAAATATCATTACAATTTTTAAATGTTACACTAATTTTAAATATTAAGTTGAAAAAAACGAAAAACATTAGTACAAGTCAGTGTCGAAATGGATTCGACTGATTCTATAAATATATAGAGTGATTTATTATGAATACTATCCCTCCAATTTTTCGTTAAATAATGATATAAAATAATGTACAAATAAAAATTTTATTTTATTTTATAGAACACAGTAAACATAGAGTTTGTTAAAAAAATATATATTTCTAAAAGTAGATTATAAAGGTTTTTTTCAAAAATTCAATGGACACCTACTATTAATTTTTACAATTTAATGAAAAATTGTCTAAATAAAATGTTGCCGATACGAGTATTGTAATATTACTTTTTAGGTTATTATTATTTTTAATCTTAGTTGACAGTACATAAGTAGAAGAATTCTTAATTATTTGTTATGGTAAAAATAGAATATCTCCAGACACCATTAGCTTCTCACCTTTTCTAAATCTTTAAATACTAATATCTCAAAAAGTAATGTCATAAAACGATTATCGCCCAGTCAACATTTTATTTAGACCATTTTACATTTAATAATAAACAAATAATAATATATTCCCTTTTTGTAAGTTACCTCCCAAATTAACCTTTTGAAATGATTTTTTTTTTTTGCAACCAATTTGATATTTACAATGGATCATAACAATAAATAAATTTTAAATCTAAACATTTTTATAAAAAAATATTATTAAATGAAAAAAAAATGGGGGTAGTATTTTTAATAAATCACACTGCATACAAAAATCACTGATAACAATAATAGTAGTTGAAATGCGTATATGATATTGTGTGTGCGTGTTTAATTTTATAAAATATTTTTAATTGAAAATTAGCTATAACTGTATTCTATATTTTTTTAGTAAATATTGTTTGAACAAATTTTTTGTCTGTTTTAATAACAAAATTTGTTGATGGTTATAAAATTTATTTTTTTTTTAAATAAATGTATTTTGAATTTTTTGATACTGTTAAATATGAATAATATTTAATGAACGAAAAAATAATAATAATGATAAAACAACATATAGATTAATTGTACAGTTTTTCAAATGTACCCATTAATATTAATTGAGATTATGTCTTAAATATAATTTATTTATGTTTATTTGCATTTATAATGAATAAAAGAACAGTCATTTTTAAATATTAAGTAAAAAATTGCTTAATTTATTAAAGTCTTATTAGCTTATTTGTTATTTCTATCATAAAAATTTGTATAATTATATGTTTTAAACATAAAAAGAAGTTTTTAAAATTTTTGTTACACTCTTATCTACTTTTTTATCACTCTTTATAGCTATTATGCTTATAATTTCGGAACTTATATATAAGTTACTATAACTATATAAAGTAATATTAATATTTAGCAATATTAATTTTTTATTGTCTCGTGTGTTACAATTAAAAACTAAAGGAATTTTCAAACCCTCATATATTCTATAAAAGGTTTACCCTTTAAAGGGGTTAAATGTGGAATACTTATTATGTAAAAATTATTGTAATAACTTGAGCTGTATACACTATTCTCATTAAAAAGTTTGTGAACTGGTACCCGATAAATATATTATCACTGAATTGTGCTACAAACAGGCTTAAAAAGTAACTGCATGTGAAATTTAATTATTTCTTATTTGTGGAAAGCTAATAAATAAAACATAGCTTCATAATATATACTATGTGTAGCAAAATTATACATAATGTATAAAATCATTCTTCTATTTCATTTGTCATCATCGCTCACTGTTACATGTATAAGTTCAGTGAGTATATTGAATTAGCAAGTTTCTCTAATAAAAGTTGTAATTTCTAATGAGATAGCTATAAGAAAGAAAGAAAGCAGTGAAGTACTTAAAATAAGTCGCAGATTTTTACAGCAGTGATTAATGATTATTACACATTTTTTATTGAAAAACTTTTAATGATCTCATGTCTATGAGCATTAATGGATACTTATTAAACTACTAAACTGTTACTTCATTTAGTTTTACCTTCTTCTAAAACTATTGTTTTTGTTGTAAGTTTTTTTAGAATAATATCATTATAGTTTCTTTATCCTAAACTCAATTAAACTTCTCTAACACAGAACTAAGTAAACAAAACACAGTCTCATTTGTGAGTAACCCACAACTATTGAAAAGTCAATTATAGTAAGAATAAAAACCAAAACGCAAAAAAACATTAATTATAATAAAATTTATTTATATATAATAATATAAATATAATAATACAAGTATAGTAATATAATTATCATTAGAATTAGAAATAGAAGACAAAATAAAAATAAGAACAATACTTCTTCTATAATAAATTTCATAGTTGTTCATAAGAGACTATAATAATTAGATTATTATAAATAATATTAATTATCAGTCTCTTATATAGTCTTACAATCACTGCGTTTTTAAAAAGTGAACAATATATTAACATTTTTTTTTTTTTTTTTTAACTAAGTGAGTTTTTATTATTCTATCTCCATAGAGCAAAAGATACTGTTCACTTGTAAAAACATGTTATGTGTTATGACAAGCTTTTCATTAAACAAAAAATGTGACGAATGTTTGAAAATAAAAACTTCAATATTAAACATTATCATCTTCCAAAAGAAGATTAAAATTCATATTATTGGAAATCTTTTGTAAATTAAAGAGTAAAGTATAGTAAAGTTATAGTTAAAAATTAATCTAATAATATGATTTTATTAGTAAACTGATAAATTTTTCAATTAATATATGAGTGTAGCCTGAAAAATAAAAACGCCAATAAAAGTTAAATATATTAGCTTAAAACTATAAAATTATACTCATATTATTGTGTTGCAATTTCCGTCCATGTTTCATATGTATATATTCCTAAATTTTCAGCCTGCTCTCATAAGCGTTCATTAAATAAAATTTTAATATTAATACTCTAATTATCGTAAATCAGTCTAAAATATATTTTTAAAATATTCAATTCTTAAGAGATGATTTAAAATTTACAATAAATGGAAGTTTGTTACTGTATTTCATTATTATAAATTGCGATCATTTTACAAACATAACTTAAAATTGCATTCTAAAAAAAGAACCCTAGTTTCAATGCAATATTATTTGATAATATACATATTAATTTTAGATTTCTTTTGTTTAAAACTCTTATATATATAAAACTTGAAATTGTAGTTTTGAAATGGTAAGTCTTATTTGACATTAGTAGTTTGCGAATATTCACCACTGTCGTTTAACTTCACAGATCAAGAATATTAGAAGTTTCAAGTCCCCAACAAACATAAGTATAGCAATAAAACTTAAGATGCATGATACATTCAAACTTAACATATAAGAAATAGTTTAAAGTTAATCTGCTATAATATATTTAGTTATACTAAAAGTTTCAGTTTTTAACTATTTTAAATATTCACATTACTCTCATTTTATGTATTAAATTCTATGCAGTTTGTGACATATACTGGAATGTTTTTATAGATTTCCATAACTGTTTTGAGTAATAAAAATTTTCTAAAGCACAAATTATTACAAGCCACTAATCTAGTTCAATATTGAATTAATAAATTTAAAGATCCAGCACAGTGTAAACGTGGTATAGTTGGTACAAGTATATATGATATTTGACAATAATTATCATCACTATCATAAAAACGCTTTGATACAAATATAAAGATAGTTTTTAATTAAGAAGAATTGTTGGATTATTATAAAATCAACATTAACTTCTATTTCTATAATATAAAATACAAGTTTTATGCTTTATAAGAAGATTCACTAAAAATACGTATTATAGTAATTAAATTTATTTAAAATTAGATAATCAATAATTTAATATTGTAACTTTTTTGAAGAAATTAAAACCGTATTCTCTCCACACCCTACCCTGAAAAGTGCAACAATGTATAGGCGAAGTTATCCACTGGAACTGCACAATGGTGGAAGGTAAATCCTAAAACTTTCCCAAGATGTATTTTTTAGCTTCTGTGCGAAACTGAGTAGGTATTAGTATTACTAAGATATGATTTTTTTTTGTGTGTTGCCACTTTTTCTGAGATCTCACTGGATTCATTTTTTTTTAAAAAATACGTCAAAAGATCACAAATCGTATCTAGTTGAAGATATTGTCCTTAAAAATAACTCAAACGGCAGCACGGGGCCGTGATCAAAATGTAATAGCAAGAGTAGTTCGCAGGAAAGAACTAGCTTACTGGAGCTGTGGCTCTGGCAGTAGCTCTCTCTAGCCGTGGCTCTGGCCTTATCCGTAGCCGTGGCTCTGTCTTTTCAATGGATATCAGTGCTTTTTATAGTACTGAAGAGGTACCCCCATATCCAGGGATATTGCCGTTTGTGTTATTCATGATTGTATTTTATTGTTTTAAAGTATACATTACATGATAATTATATTGATAGCATAGTTAACAATAGATGAGTTGACATATATGTTTATAATAAGAAATTGTGTTGAACATTGTATTTGTTATGACAGATAAATTATTTGTTTGTTTACAAGTTATTTAAAATACAGATTATACTTTTTTCATTGATAATTGTGAGATGCGTAATGCAAAGTACACCCAAAGAAAAACCTCAATCAAAATTGAAAGAGAAATTTTATCAAGGGTTTATGATAATGTTTTATTAATACGAACAAAATAACTATTCTTATAAATAATTATTGTTCAAGACAAGAAAAAAAATATCATATTGATATATTATCATTGATTCAATAGTAATGATATATTTATCATATTGAACAATGAATTTATTATATAGATCGAGGTTTTTCTCTGGGTGTATTAAGCATATCACTACATAACAACAAGATATTTTCTGATAAGTTTTGTATTAAATCCTTCAATTTTTATACACATTTGCCATAAAAATAATAAATGATTTATTTTTTTTTATATATTTTCCGTAAAAATTACAATACTTAAATAATACATATAAATTTCATACTTTATATCATTTCTATAATAAATATTTTTTCATTTAATGCATTTATATATCAAAAAACGTATAACCAGGGTATAAATAAGATAATAAGAGTTCATTTTGCTTTTGGAATAATCCAACAATTTCTTAATATTAAATACTATCTACAGATTTTTATTGCAGCGTTTCTTAGAAAAGTGATTTTAATCACTGTCAGATATCATCGATACTTGTCCCATCTATGGCGCATTCACACTGTGCCACCGTTTATTTTAACTTATAGTATGTATTATTGAATTTAATTTAACATATGTTTAAAGTTCGGAAAATTTCCGGAACATTTTCAAAAGTTAAGTAGAAAAAGTTCTACTTTTTACTCGTATGTTTAATGTTTTGTACCCAGCTGTTTATAAAGAAATGGTCTGTTTTTTTTTTTTAAGAATATCAAATGAAAAGTATACGTATAAAATACTAATAAAAAATTTATTTAATCGATATATTTTTCAAAAATTAAATTTTTGTGAAATACTTGCTACATTTAATTCCTCCTTGTTGGCAGATAAAATTCCAGATTTTTAAAATATTGATATCAAAGAAAAGCAATATAGCTAAGGTATTTATATAAAAAAATTATTTTTATTCGCTTGTTTCTAAAATAGCTATGACCGTTTTAAGAAAAAAGTTTAAAAAATATCGAAATTTACCCATTTTAAATATTTTTACTTTTTGAGTGATTTCCATTATTTACGTGAAACAAGAAAATATTTTCAATTTTAAATGATATTGTCTCAATTAGATACGATTCGTGATCTTTTAACGTATCGTTGAAATAAATCAGTTCGTTGTGAGTTGAGAAAAAGTGGTGAGTAACAAGCACAAAAAGAATATATCATTTTAAAATTAATACCTTGTTAGCTTCGTATCGAA